ATGATTGTAATCAACTTTGGATGATTATTTTGTGTATTGGATTAGTTACTGTTGAATGTTGAGCTTCTATCTATGTGGTTACATATATGTTTCTATGCAACTCTTTTGATACTCTCTTTCTTGTATGGTATTGTTTGATTATTGAGTTAATCTGGACTTGCATTGAACAAAATGCATTAATTAATCCTAATATACACATTAAGTGAGCTTAATAGGACTTTATGATATGGGTGGCTACTAATTGAGATCTTAGACTTAAAGGGCACTTTTAAAGTTTTTCATTTAGAAAATTTAGTGAACTCTACTCCCAAAATCATTTTGAATTATAATTGCCAAAAACGCATTTTCAAGAGGTTTCATCAATTGTTTTCAACATTCGTTTTCCATCCATTCCATTTTAATCTCCCAAAAATTCAAAAATATATTTACATTGCATTTTATTTCAATTAGTAGCTTTAAATGAAAACCCCTTAACCTTTTCCTAGTCAATTTGCATTTTTATGACATCTAGTTAACTTAGGACCAATAACTAAAGACTCCAACAAGAGAAAGACGCAGGGTTGCATCCTATGGTGCAATTTTTGGATTAATTTTGCATTTAATCTCCAGGGCATAAAGCAAATGGTTAATCAATCTTCAAAGTTAATAAATCTTCATTTAATTAATTATTTTATCTTATTGTTATTATTATTTGAAATCCCATTAAACTTAAACATATAACCCATTCATATGAAATCTACTAGAATCAATCAAAAAGTTATTAAAAGTTAAATTCAATCTCTTTTATTTATTTATTTTTTCATTAAACTTCACATAACAGATTTGAAATTTGAATTTCAATCTATTTCACATCATCATCATCATTTTTCCTACTTTTATTTTTAAATACCTATGCACTTATTTACAATTTTATTTATCTTTCAGTATAGTTATTTAATTATATAATCCCACACATAAGATAACTGTTTGTGATTACTTCAACTTGATTCAAATTTTAAATCCCCGATTTCTTTAATCTTTTGTGATAAGCTTGAAATAATTGATAAATAAATTCTCCTTGTTATTCTTTAATTATCCAATTTTCTTTTTACCAGATCTTTAATTAACCAATAATACTATAAAACCCAATTCAATTTGGGTTGTTATAGTTTCAGAAATTGTTGCCATCACTTATGTACCAGCATTTACGAAATACCAGAGCAATGTTCAGTACGCATAACAGTACTTTATGATGATAAGAAAATAAGAAAATGTATTGCCTTAAAATAAACACAATCAAAAGGTGCAGTGCGCTTTCTCGTTTCCTTTTTTTTTTTTGGTTTTTTTTTTGTTTTGGGGGGGGGGGACATTTTGGACGAATCATACATTGTTTTTAAAGTATAAATTAGGGATTTGCAGCCCATCGTCCATTACCTTGTTCCAGGTACGTTTGTTGAATAAACAAAAGGCAACTAAATAAGCAACTAAAGCTTTTGATAAAGAAGGGAATTATAAATTTCTAAGAGGTCTTTGAGTCATGAGTCACTAACTCACTATATATAAATTTATATATATGAGTGGCGGCCAAAAAAAATAAAGCTAAAACAAGACTTTTGAGTCTAAATATTGTATTATCATGTGAAGTTGTACCACTGAACGCAATTCACAATGAGCTGATGTCGGTGGAGCTTTTAGGCGCAACAAATCTATTTTTGCGTATTCTCCACGTTAGAAAATTTCCGACACCTCTTTCAATGATTTTCACTGAGATTTTTTCACCGTAATCTATCCTTACATTTTAAAAGATAAATCATAAGCACAAAATCATTTAAAATAAAATGCCTCAGTTCAGGTCATCAGTCCTCACGTTTAATACGTAAACAAAACGTGTATATAGAATCTCTAGTTAGATCAATAAAACCAATATTTACATCTAATGGCACATATATCTCAACCTAATTAAACAACCAACATAAACTAGGTTGATGACTCTCTAATTAATTTTTATAAAAATATGACTCAATGAATTTCTTTGATATGGCTTATTAGTTCGAGTCTCACTTCATTTTTCTCTTGCTGCATCTTTCTCTTCCAGTCTTTGGTTGTTGGCAGGGAGGAGCTAAATTCTAATAATAATAATAATATATATATATATATATACATGATTTAATTTCCTTTGTTAAGTCACGATAAATTATTCGTAACCCACCAAACCAAATTCGAGTCACGCGGCTCCAATTATTGAGAAAGCTCTTCGAACATGATTTTTTTCCTGTTCATCTTTCACTCCTTTTGGATATTTTCCAAGGTGAGATGACAAAAGTCATGTCAATGAGCTGTAAAAATCTAATTCTGCTTTTGATATTTTCTTTCCCTGTCAGCATCTGTAATCACTTATATATTCTAAAGTCTAGTACGCCCAGCATGTCTAAAAACAAAAACCAAAAAAAATTCCCGGAATATCATGAAGTCATGATGTTGTGATAAAAGATGAAGAAAACTCACTTTACCTGGGAGTATGAAACTGGGCTTTTTTTTTTATAGCTTATATAATTATATTGTCCTGCTTGTCCTTTCTAAAGCAATATAGTTTGAAAAGTAAAGATCCAAATGTCTAAAGAGTAAAGACGAAGAAATAACTGTGTGAAATGGACAAGATGAATAAGATCCAGCCTATTCTTGGAGCAAAATTAGCCCATCACCTTGTCTCAAAAAAAGAGGCTCTTCATTGCCGAAAATGATTGTCTAAAATTCAGTTTTCTTTTATGCTGCTGATCATTTTTCAAGAGTTAGCTTATATTGCTATGATCCCATTTATAAGAGAAAAGATTTTTCTTGATTCTATTTATAAGTCACAACTCATTAAATTTTTAGTATGAACATACTATTTTGTTCTTCATTTATTATAGTATAGATAGTTATTTTTTTAAAGGTATCTATATTAAATAAGAGGTAAAGTTAGAAAGCTGTTTTACTTTAAGAGAGAGTTAATGCAATTTGATATTTTTCTTGGTTTGTGTGAAACATGCTGAAAATACTCTATAAATAAAACCAAAATAGTATATTATATCCATATGGTCTCATGCCTATTATTTCCACTCAAATACATTTCATGTCTCTGCAATATATATATATATATATATATATAGGCACGCATATATATAGCTTTGATAAAAAAAAAAAGAACAGAACAAGAAGGTAAACAGGTAAGCAATTGACTAGCATTACAATTACAAAACGAAAAATTGCAAGAAAAAAAAAATTGAACGAGTCCAGTAGTGATGGTTATAAATCTTGGACTGATAAAAACAAACTAGGTAAAGATAATCCTTAGATCGGTATTGATAAAGAAAAATGGAATCAAAAGATGGGTTGTTAAGGTTCTTAGCTCGATGACTGGTGGGTCTCCCCACTAAGCATATAATCATATATATATATATGTGTGTGTATTTATATATATCCATTGTTAAGCAACTTGACAATTCAATAATGACGATTATTTTTCCTGCAACACAGCCCTTATCTTTTGGAAGAGTCCCACTACTTTATTAAAAATAAGGAAAGGAAGGAGAGAAGAAGTTAAACATAACTTTTTATTTTTCCTTTTGATGATTAAAGCATGCGTAACTTTAGTTAAAGAGAAGAAGTGACTCAATTAAAACTTATCTCTTTTCATTCATTATTTTAAACATGTTAAATTAAAAAAATGGAAAAGTTTATATTTGTATTTCCTTTCATACTGTGAGCAAAATATAATTCATTACATCCCATTTCTTTCATTGTTTCTTTTCCATTTTCATTCATAGCTTTCATTCTGGGCATCAAACAAACCCCCATATAAAATTATATTCATGTTATTTACAATTTATGATATTGTGACATGTATGTTATATATTGCGTGATAACTCAATTTAGTGTAATGTAAATGATTTCAAGTATGATAGGAAATTCGAATGTTACTTGAGTAAATATTTTAGCACATTATAAGAGAGAGTTTAGATTAATTTTGATGGATTTTACTGATTAATTAAGTTGAATATTAAATTAGTAACAAAAATAAGAACTGAGTTTTAAATGAGTTGAAAATTTAAGCACCAGATGATTAATTTGTCTTATATTTTATTTAAGAGTTAATGTCAAAACATACATAATAGATATGTGCATTAAAATAAGAGGCTGAACACTCATCGCGCTATATTACTGTACTGCTTCTCCAATTGAGTGTAATATTTCAAAAACTTTATATTCCCTGTTTAAAAAAACAAAAGCATGCGATATATTAGTCCATGTAAATGATTTTACTTTTTCACTTTTGATTGAAGTAATAAAAGATATAAATCTGACATAAAATGATCATAGCCACCCATTATATTACGTTACAAGAGTTGAAACGATGATGCTGAAACAAAACATTCACTTCAGTTTTGTACAAGTTCCAAACCGATCATACATATGAGACAAAAATCATCACATGCTTAGAAAATTTACGTTAAAACATCAAGAACAACACTTTGCAGACACACTTCCAAATCAAGTTCAATCCCTCATTAGTTGTCCAATTGTGATGGTGTGAAATTGATCCTCTGAATAGGATTTTGGTGTCCTTGCAAGCTCCCTAGATACTTGTTCCATGGTTGGACGAGATTCAGGAGTCTCATTCAAGCAAGAAAAAGCTATTTTTGCAACTAAGATCACATCATCTAGGATTGGTTTTGTGAGTGGAGAAAGTCGTGAGTCCAACACATCCCTTAACAACAAATCATTATTGGTTGAATTCTCTGCCAAAGATGAAATAAGTTCCACAGGATGTGTACCCATAATGATTTCTAAAGTCAATACTCCGAAGCTATAAACATAACATTTCTCGTTTGCTTTCATAATGAAAGCAACCTCTGCAATAGGATTTAATGTTATATATATCCATAATATAGCAAAGATTAATACTTTGGAAAGAAGGGGGGAAAAGGTAGTCTTACCTGGTGCAGCATACCCAAATGTGGCCATGTTGTTTGAGTTAGGATTCAAAAACTTTGTTGTCCAAAGGCAATGACGCGAGCTTCTTCATAGTCAAAACTTAGAAGAACATTCTTGCTTGATATGTCGTGATGAACAATGGGAATTGAACAGCCATGATGCATATGAAATAAAGCATTAGCCACCCCTTTAACAACATTCACCCTCTTATTCCACTTAAACTCAGTGGCTTGTTTCAGATTCTTTAGTATGTTGTCCAAGCTACCACCTTCCAAGAACTCATAAACCAAAATGGAGAATTGTGAATTGGAAAAAAACCCATACAATTTCACAATGTTACAATGTTTGATCTCTGTCAAAGCTTGAATATTACTTGTGAAAGCTTTCTTGTTGGAGATTTCCCCACTTGGCATTGAATGAAGCTTCTTTATAGCAACAACATCACCTGTACACAACTTAGCCCTATAAACACTTCCTTGGCCCCCGTCCCAAGAAGATATCTTTCATTAAATTCCATTATCGCTTCAATGATATCTTCATACATTTTTTTTCTATCAAGACTCTATATAAAATAAACATCTTCTGGTGAACCTTCTCCATCTTTACCTTTTGCTTTTGTTGCTATTCGAGCAAAAATGAAAGATGCTCCAACAAGCAATAATAGCAATATGGTCAATGGAAGGAATATTATCAAGAACTTTTTACTCTTATGGCCACGTCGATTTGTTTGAAAATCATCACAGGGACTTAAACCAGTGACATCACCACACAAGCCTTTATTATTCCTCAATGCATCAATGTTGTTAAAGGCTAGGTTGTTTGGAATGAGGCCTTCTAATTGATTCTATGATATGTCAACTGTAGACAAAGCTGACATTGATCGACTGAAAGTGGAAGGAACGGTGCCATTGAGATTATTATGTGAGAGTTCAATACTTGCAATGCAAGTAATATTCCAAGTCTTGCCAGTATTTTTCCAGTTAACAAATTGTCACTAAGATCAAGTTGTTCAAGATGTTGGAGTTGACCAAACTCAAGGGGAATGCTTTCATCAAATTTGTTTTTGCTCAAGTTCGAGAACTTTAAGCTTTTTAATTCTCCAAGCTCTCTTGTGATTGTGCCATTGAAATTATTTGCTGCCAGCTCCAAAGTTTCAAGCCGACTAAGTGATCTTATATTTGAGGGGACGCTACCAAAGAAGTTATTGTGGGTCAAAAAGAGTTTTGTCAACATGGTCAACTTCCTAAGTTGTTTTGGAATTTGTCCAAACAAAAGATTTAAAGACAGATTAAGTAAACCAAGCTTAGTTACCTCTCCTAGTTCTGGTGGTATACTGCTAGAAAACTTGTTATTGTGAATAACCAATTGTGTGAGATTTAGATACTCTCCCCACCTAGATGAAAGGTGGCCATACAATTGATTTCCACTTAGATCAATGTAGTTCAAATGAGGATATACTCCAAAAGCATCCGTGATATTATCAACTAATTGGTTAGTCTGAAACATGAGTCTTTTTAGACTAAAACAGTTCTTCAAACTAGTTGGAATAGGACCAGTGAACTGGTTACCTCTAGCAACAAACCTATATAATCTCTTATGTTGACAAATCTGTTGTGGCAAATGGCCATGGAAATGATTACCACCCAGTTGTAAACTATAACAACTTAAGTTATTCATTTCCTGTGGAAGTTGACCACTAAGATTGTTCTTCATTAATCCATGAGTATCGAGCTTTGTCATGTTTCCTATGGTGGAAGGAATATGTCCTGAAAGACTATTATTTTGTAGAAAGAGTTGGTTTAAATTGATCATGTTACCAATGGATTGAGGAATTAGAACAGAAAGTACTAGTCTATTATCAGCTAAGGTTAAGTCTCTGAGATTTGTCAGGTTTCCAATAGAGGGAGAGATTGGCCCAGAAAATCCATTGCCATGTAATTGAATACTAATGAGAGAATAGAGACTCCATAATCCAGTAGGAATAGGACCCCCGAGATTGTTCTCATAAAGAAAAAGTATCTGTAACTTGGTCAAATTTCCAATTGATGATGGGATTCTCCCTGATAGAGAGTTGCTTTGCAAACAAAGGTCTACAAGATTGCTTAGCATTCCAATCTCTTTAGGAATGAGACTAGAAAAGGAACTTCTTCCAAGATATAGGAGGCTCAAATTCCTCAAATTCCCAATTTCTTGGGGAATTGGTACTGTGAGACTACATGCACTAAGATCAAGACTATTTAGAGTGGTTAGGTTCCAGATTTCAGGAGGAATGGGACCCCTAATTAATGGATTATCTGACACACTCAACATCAAACTTCTGGACAAATTACCAATTTCGTGGGGAATGGATCCATAAAATTGGTTGTAACTTATATTGAAGTAGAGGAGATTAGGAAAGGCAGTGAAGTTGAGATTGGAAAGCATACCTTGAAGGCTATGGTTTGAGAGACTTATGTTGATCACAGACATGGACTCATCACAAGAAATTCCCCTCCACAAGTCTTTGCAAGGATTAGTATCATTCTTCCAAGATGACAAGGTGTATGTGCTTTCTTTGTTAAAGCTATCTCTCCACTTCAACAGAGCTTCTGCTTCACTATCTCTAGCAGCAGCAGATGCAAAGAAAGCGACATAGAAGAAGAATGCTAGCATCTTAGTGGAATCTCTTTCAGACATGTTTTTGGTTGAAGTTTTGAATCAGCTAGGAATATGTTCAAAGACGGAATATTAGCTCAGCGGGTGAGTTGGTGGCTGTAAATGGAGGCTATCTGAGGCTTGGGATGTTCAAGTTGATGATACAGGCCTTCTTATAGCATGGGCTGGCCTTGCAGGCAATAATTTCTCAGTATACAATAATAATATTTTGCGATAGGCATGCGCAAACTTAACTAATATTGCTTCAAGAGATATAAAGTATGATTCTTGGATCTGCTAAAGTTTTCCTCTTTAAAATTGACGGTGTTTCACTTCTTTTTCTTTTCTTTTCTTTTCTTTTTTCTTTTGTTTTGTTGCTTAACTTTCAACGGCAACAGGAACTCATCATTATTGTTTTCCCAACACTTCATGAACTTAAACAACTTGGTGATTAAGAAGATTTGTTAGGGTTTTATCTTTATATATCTACTAATCAAATTTACAATATACTATAACCATTGAGAATGACAATAATTAATTTATAGTCTCTCATATTTTAATTATAAGGCAAAGTTATAAAGCTCTACTTGATCTAAAATACAGAACATACAAAAATGTAATAGTCTTGCCCTATTTTATTGCACTGCATTATTTTAATTCTAGTAGAACCCTTTATTGTGGATATTAATTTTAATAAAGGGTCAAGTTGAAAAGATCTACTAGCTTGGTTTATTAATAGAAGACCCACTTGACTAATTTGTAAAGATTAAGAAAGTTACTAAATTACTTTAAAGTATCTATGTTTATTATTTTTTTAAAACTAATTTGTCTTACTTATAAATTGATACATAATCTAATGATATATATATATATATAATTATTTTAAAAATATCATATGTAACATATGCTATAATTATATCAATTTTCTTTTGATAAAAAATAGTTACGTTAACTAGATGTTATATTAAAGATTAAAGTAACAAATCCAAACAGATATTAAGTTTCAAAACAGTATACTGCTATGCATAAAGTGATGGGCCTTATTAAAGTGCCCTGTATGATAAAGCCCACATTTGTTGCGCCTTATCTCTCACAACCAGACACTCCACCCATTAAGTGGATTCATCATATTGGCCCCTAGGATCAAATAAAATTTAATATTTCTTGTCTTTTGCATTGGAATTATTGAAAAGCTAATTTTGAAAGACAATGAGAAACTGAGAACTCATTTTGTTAAAAACGTATAAACATATATAGTTAAATAATAAAGATAGAATTCATTTCCCATGAGGGACGAAGCCACACATCTAATGCAAAACGGATGACCAAAAAATCAATTATCAACTTGAAATCATTATTACATCATAAGTTCCTATTACCTGTTTTCAATGACAATTTTATAAAAATTATCAAACACCCTATTTTAAAATTAATTATGCTTATAAATCAATTTTATAAGCTACATGTTTTTTCTTGGACGATATAAATCAGATTACGAAGCATTAATTGTGTCTAGAGTAACGTTTGCTCTTCTTTTTCCCTCAATAAAAAATTGGAAAAATAAATGGATTATGACTTGTGAGTGTGGTGCCACTACGTATCCCCGTCAAAAGCATGCACATAGGCAAATTTCTATTGGCAGCCAAAAATTTTTGTGGGGAATGCGACAGGTTGTTACAATTTAGGGGGGATGACACTAGAAAGACACCTGAATATACATAGGATAAGGTGCATCTAATATTATGAAACAAAATTTTTAGGTGCATATATCCAGCATTGTATAGTATTTTATGGTGTATTCAACATCATGAAATATTTTTCCAAGTGCGTCCAAGACCTTAAGTTATATTTTGATACATGTAGCATCTAAAGTATATTTTTAAGTGCATCTAACATTAAATTTTTTTTTTTTGTGTGCATCCAGTTTCCTAAATTACTAAGTCTACAATCGCACTAAAACATACTTGAAAAATTGCGCTAAATATCTTGTTGCATATTACCCTATATATATTGCCAACTGAAAATTCATTAAAATATAAAAACCTCACAACAACCTCTTAGAGAGATTTCAGAAACTACTATGGAATACTAACCAAAGCAAACTAAAACCTAAAACAAACTACATAAAGAAACAAATACAGAGCAACTCCGCGAGTATCATTTAAACGAGCAAAACCCAACCAGTAAAGCTTTAACAATCCAACAAGCTGTTAAATTGGCTTCTTTGGGAATCTATCTAAAAAAACCTAAGTCGTTTTAAGTTTTTAGAAACGAAAAAGCTCCAGCGGTTGGCTGTTAGAAAATTATTGAGAAAAAGGATGAGCTCAAAAATAATGGTTATTTTGTGTAAAAAATTAAATAACAACTTTTATTATATTAAATTACATCAAAAAATTAAGCAATGGCAATTTAATGAACATCCTCCGTAAAATAGAAGAAACAATTAAAAAATAATAGTGATTGAGCCCTATTGCCAAGGAAACTGCAAAACATCATGGATATTCATTCAGCATATACATTCAGTCATATATGTATCAGTTACGGGTCTAGAAATAAAGCAGCAACACAATTAAAAGTGGTATTCAGAGACCAATAACAGTTGGAAGAAATTTTCGTGGAGAAAGGAAGAGAAGCCAGAGAGAAATTTTTTTTATTACAAAAAAATTAGATTAGTTAGGTCTCGAGAAAGAAAAATTATTCTGAAATAATTTTTTAATGCAGCCAAGCCATCATATATTCATATTCCTCCTTCTAAGTACTCCCTCCGTTCCTTATTATAAGAGACATTTGGTGCTTATGGAATGTTCCTATATATAAGAGACACTTAAAAGTTGTCTCTACTTTTTTGTGTTGATTTCCTATTTTACCCATATTTATTGTCTTCAACTCACACTCTCTCTCCTTCCCACTTCTCTTTCTTTTAATAAATTACCATTGTTCTCTCTCATGTTCTCTCTTCTTATTAATGAGGGCATTTTTGGAAAAAAATTATACTTTTTACATATTAATTGTTCTTAACTAATTTTAACTGTTTTTTTTATCAACGTAATTCGGTTATTCGTCTCTTATAATAAGGAACGGAGGGAGTACTTTAATTGCTTGTACCATATCAGTCCACCTTGCACAAGCCCAATTATCATCTCTTTTGGCCCATTAATGTCTGGCTCATAGTCTCAACCCATTTTATAATCTAGCACATTTGTTGCTGGTCTATTTAAATCCCCACTAGGAGAAGTGCCTACATTTAGTATTTGGCAATGCCTTCAATATATTGCCTATAATGAAAGGATATCTATATGCAATGCAAAAAAAAAAAAAATCGTTAGTATTTTGAAGTTTCAAATGCCAAAGATAATTTGAAGATTAATGACTACTTCACTTTAAGAAATAACTATTTTGATTATATAAAATGACAACAAAAACTTTAACAATAAATTTCACCCAAAAAAAAAAAAAAACCTTGAGCGATGACAACTTTAATTGTGTCATTCTCCCATAAATGTAGTTATGCTACTAATTAAAGTTTTATTGTCGTTTCATATAATTGAAGTTATTATTATTTAAAGTGAAATATTCATTGATCTCTTAATTAGCACTGACACTTAAAACCCAACTTAACTTTTGAAAATAACAGTTATCACTTCTATGTTAAAGTGATGACCTTAACCCAGAACTTGAAGAATCCTACTGTACAATGAGACATTATGACTCAGATGACCCTGACCCAAAAGGCATCATGAATCTATCCCCTAGCTATGAACCTATCTATAAAGACTAGGGAACACCATCATCAGCAAACTGCCTTCTGGGGTGTTAGCTAAACCGAACCAAGCTAACATAGTCTGATATCCAAGGCTTTAGTCTAGGTAAGGCCACTCATTCTCAAATCATCAACGAGCCACATTAGGACTCTCAGCATTAAATATCAGATCTAGGATAACTGGAAAGATTGTCACTAAACACTCCTTCATGGATTGTGATCATATTCTATTTCTGATGCACATGATCCTCTTAAAGAGGCAAGTACAGAGCATACTTAGAATCTCTGGTAACAGAAGAAAGACATTATAAGTGAGACTTTCAGAAGAAGAGAGAAATTTATAGAGAGCTCATGAGGAAAGCACACTAGTATTATACAAGGAAGTCGATACAACTCCTTCTGCCTGTAACTGATAGCAAAATGGGGTTTATATGGAGGCTCGGAGCCATTACATGACAAAGTCCTAATAGTACGTATCATTATGACGGGTAGGGGTCATAATGACTTTCTAGCCTAATAATGACACAACTGTCATGATGACTGGCTATCCTAATAATGACACATATGTAACTACTTTAATAAAGGCAACTACTTTACTGATTACAAAAAGACAAAATAGACTACAGGATGAATTACTTTAATAAAGTAAAAGTAGATGGCAACATAAAGTAGGAATCTGGCGGGTCCCCCTTATCTTCACAGTATCTCAAAAGGCGGTTTGCTGATAATAGTGTTCCCTAGTCTTTATAGATAGGTTCATAGCTAGGGGATAGATTCATGATGCCTTCTGGTTCAGGATCATCTGAGTCATAGTGTCTCCTTATATAGTAGGATTCTTCAAGTTCTGGGTCAAGGTCATCTTGGTTAGGATCCTAGGATTCTCCTGCAAGGAATAGGAGTTATGGCTGAAAACTCGACTGAGGAAGATGGAGTCCTTCAGGCTGAGTGAGTTGAATCTATGAGTCTTCGTCATAAGGGTCTTGAGAGGCTTCTGTCGGTAGAGGGACTTGTGACCTATTTGGTGGAGGTCTGACAGCACTCATGATGAAATCTCTCTGAAATTCTTCAAGTGTTGTGCTGCTGGCTGATGGTGAACTTGGAGGGAAAGGTCCAAAAGAAAGACATGAAGTGTCTTCTCCCATGTCTGGCTGATTAAGTGCAATTAATGTTTTCCTAATTTTCTCCATTAACAATGCTTTATTTCCTGGCTATGAGGGGGTGGTGACTTGAAGAATCAGATGATTGTCTATGTAAAGCCTTTGGTCAGCACTTATACCATAGT